CTGGAAGTGATGCGACCACGCCGGGCACGCTGGGGGCGGGGCCATGGTCATCCAAGGGAAAACTCTATGTTTTCCCCTCGGATGGTCGTGGCCCCACCCCCAGCGTGCCCGCATCACTTCCGGGTGATGTGGATGTGGTGAGCTCCAGCTGTGAGACAGGAGTCCCCCGCTGCGGCAAAAAAATGACTTGGGAACCCTATGGACCTGGCACCCCTACAGAATGGTCTGATCCAGCAGACTCTGCTTCTGTTCTCATGCTTGGTCCAATCAGAATGCCCAGCCATGCTTTAATACGATGTGAAGGGGCCTGGTCAGATTCAGTGAGCAGCTTCTAATTTAGCACCAAGCATGCTTTGTTATCACTCAGGCTAGCCTGATCTTATCAGCTCTCAGAAGCTAAGCAGGGCTGGCTCTCGTTAGTACTTGGATGGGAGACCACCAAAGAATGCCAGTATCATAATGCAGAGGAAGGCAATGGCAAACCACCTCTGGCCCACCTGGATGGCTCAGGCTCTGAACATCCTGGAAGCTAAGCAGGGAGTCCTTGGAGGGGAGACCACAAAGTCCTGGGTCGCTAGGTAGAGGCAGACAATAGCAAACAAGCTCACTTTGTTATACTCGGACTATGTATGGATTTCAGGGAATCTCTATAGGGAAATTATTTCGCCACCATGACAGGGCCTTCTGCAGGTGCCATCTTGAATACGGGCAAAATCAACGGCTGCCCATACGCGTGCATTCTCTGTTGCAATCTCCCCCACCACCACCACCACTTACAGAATAACTTGCTTGATGAGGACAGGAAGGTCCCCACTCTCGTGGCATTCCATAAACTATGCAAATCAGAATTATTCAAGAGGTCATTTTCGTAAAGGTAAGTGGGCCATTTTATCCCAGAATAGTTCAGAAATATGCTTGGGTAAATTGGTAGGCATTGTGTGCTATACTACTGTGCAAAGTACATACTGTCTGTTCTTGTATGATACTATTACATGATTTCTCCACTGTTTAACACGTAGGGATGTTTTTCACAAATTTTGGCTAGTTTGTGGTTCGCAAAGTGATGTTTATGAACCGAAGAGTTGCCATGAACTTTCACAGATTTTGATGCAGTTTGTGAAGAACAGAAAGCAGGGGTTTAAATGGCTCCAAGTCATTAAAAACCCTGCTTTCTGCTCTTCACAAAAAACAGCTGAGTGGCGGGGAGCAGAAAGCAGGGATTTAAATGGCTCCAAGCCATTTAAACCCCTGCTTTC